ATCTATCCTTAAATTCGCCAGCTATAATTGCCACTAATGAATCTATACATAAAAGAATGCACATTCAGATTCAAATCTCGATTTTCTAGTGTTAAAAGTTTAAGGTACAATTTCTTGAAACACCTTGATTACTTCCCCACTAATTGTCAATATCCTACTCCCAAAGGAACACCAAAAAAAGTGGAGTAAAGCTACATGTCTGTGAAACAGCAAGGTTTCTACAACCTTTCTTTAAAAAAGATACCCATTAAGAGGGATAAAGTAGTAATAAAAGGGTTATTAAAGACATATTAAAATTACATCACAGAGAATTGGTTATCAACCAATTTTTCATTTTAATTATATGATTTTTGTTAATGTGCTCAGTGAAATAAAAATATACCTATGATTATAAAAGTTTTCATATACATTTCAAATTATATGTTATTTCCTACAAGACATAAGGGAGAAAATCATTTTGTGCATAAATGCTATATTATTTTTTAAATATTCAAAATGTTTGAATTTTCCTCTATGACTTAAATAAATACCACTCATTAAATAGCGTATTGCTTTTCTTAACAATGTTGTTCCACAAAATTACTAGTCTCAATTACTCAATGATGCTCTTCACTAATAAAACTGTACTTCACCTTGCTTAAAAGTAATGCCTACTTAAATTGCATTTCAAAGCAAAAAGTCTCAAATCGTTCTCAAAGAAATGGCTGAACTGAAAAAAAAAAGCTTATTTCTTGATGTCTGAATCTTCCAATGAGAATTTGGAAGGAAAAAATTATATATACATTTATTTTATATATACATATTGTGTATATATATAATATATCATATATAATTATATATACATTTTATATATATATATATATAATGTATATAAGGACTTTGCTTACACGAAAATAAGAGGTGGCATTCTTGAGATGGAAAAGGCATAAATCGTAAGGTCAGGGAAATACAAGTTTGAACCTCAGCTGTCACTTCCTAGCTGTATAACCTTGGACGAGTTACCTAACTTTGTGAGACTTGATCTCATCTTCTCTAACATGTGAATAACAGTACTAACCTCAGAGATGTCATGAAGATAAAATTAGATAATACATGTGAAGTACAGTAGCTTGCAAACAGTTATAAGGTATTTAGCTGGTCCCACTATTAGTATAAATCGCTCTATGTAAGGAGAAAGGATATCTTCAAATCTTCCAGCATTTTAAAATCATAATTTTCAATAACGGCCCCTTGTCCACCAGGAATAGATAGGAAAGGTGGACATACACAGTCATTAAAAATGCAGTGAGTGCTACCCATTCCTCATCAACAGCTTGCATTTCAGATATGAATTTGTAGGTTTTATGGTAAGAGGTAAGCTCAGAGGCTGATCTATGTAGAGCTCAATTTTTTCAGGCCCACTGGAGACTTCCCTCATCAACAGCTTGCATTTCAGATATGAATTTGTAGGTTTTATGGTTAGAGGTAAGCTCAGAGGCTGATCTATGTAGAGCTCAATTTTTTCAGGCCCACTGGAGACTTCTGCTCTAATAATGTGGTGTTCACTGAGTTAACAAATACCCCTCAAATTAAACGAAGTGATAGCCATTATTACTTCAAATGATGAAAATTTCTAGAAAGTAGTTGAGAGAACAATAAAAGGCAATTTTGAAAATTATACCAAAGGTTTCAAGAAAGACAGAATAGCAGTTAAACATTAATTTGCTTACTAGATAACATCACAGATATCTACTATCTTGCTTTATTTCCTCTGACCTACTCACGCTAAGGTGTATATGCCCTGTATAAACCTTAAAAGGCCTCTAAAAGGCTCTTGTAAAAATGACCTGAGATATTTCCCCAAGTGATGGAATGTGATAAATCATTCTAAAGAATATTGCACTCATAAAACCACAAAGAAAGCAACATTAGTATTAGAAAAAAACTGCTTTCTGATTCTTCATTACTCTGCCTTTTTCTATGATTAATCTAAAGAACGTATCATGCCGTATATTTTACAGATGTTTCTTACAGGTCTGAATTACAAGTTATCAGCAAATCATCAGCCACTGTGGAGGCAGTACATGTAGGTGTGGCTGTAGATTCAAGACACACTCAGTAAGCAATACTGAACACGAAGCATGTGGGAGGTCAAAAAATAGAAAAGGAGAAAAAAAGATTATAGCTATAGTTAAGTTTCCATCCCTTTAATAGCTCAGTAAGAAGAGTGAAACGTACAGGTTTGAACTAGCGTTTATTTGAGCATTCTTCTAGTGGCCAATGGGTGTGGCGGCATTTTGGGTATATTTTTCTAGGGAGAGTAACTATGTCTTACCATCTCTGAAAACTATACTTAGTGGCTTTGATTCATGGAAATTTGTTCTGCTTGTTTTATAGAGACAGACATATCCTGGCTGTTACCCACTCACTGTTATTGCAACTTTTGCAGCAAAAAGAAAATGTGTTCTTCCCTATAGTCTTCTTGAAGCACAACCTGGAAGAAAGATGATTCCCATTAGATGCAAGCAAAAGGGAGAAAGCTGATTTTTAACTATAAGATTCTTAATGTCATTAAAGCGCATTAAGGAATGGCTCAAAAACTTTTGCTGTGCTTGAGTTTTGTTTTAGAACTGCTTGAAACAAGCAAGCATAAAATTGAAAGAAAAAAAACATGTTGCTTTTAGAGTGGGATCTGTTAAAATGCAAAAAGAGTGTATTATTTGCCCAGTTTAGCTATAGTCTGAGAGAGCTACAGGTGGTCACCCTTAATACCACAGATGCTCACAAGCACTAGGGTTAATATAGATATTTTTGCACCACTAGCAATGGCTACTAAGGAATGAGTGCTTGAGAGCAGCAGTAACAGACCTCAACATTGAAAGTGCTAACTCTAAAGCAAGAAGAGGGTGTCCTTTATGGCAGAAGGCTATGGTCAGGTGCTTGCTAAGAGACCTACAGAGAGCCAAATGTCTTACATAGGTTCCCGAGTTTATAAATCTGTCAGAGAATCATCACAAGTACCACCATGGATCTCAAACCCTGAAACATTTAAACTGAGGAAGTATATGAGAATTAGGGGTGTGGCATTTTAAAAGGAAGAAACAACAAAACATCTTATTTTAGAGAACAAATACCAATCAGAAAGCCCATGTCATTTCTGCACGACATTCAGAGTGATATTATATGACACTGAGAGTACATGGCCACTCCGTTCTTGCTTCCTTAAAGAGCATATGAAATATTTCAGAAAATTTTTTATCAAATTTTAAGTTTTTCTGCTTAACAAGTAAGCTCCAGTTAAAGAAAAACTCACTCATCTTATTTTAGAGAACAAATACCAATCAGAAAGCCCATGTCATTTCTGCACGAAATTCAGAGTGATATTATATGACACTGAGAGTACATGGCCACTCCGTTCTTGCTTCCTTAAAGAGCATATAAAATATTTCAGAAAAATTTTTATCAAATTTTAAGTTTTTCTGCTTAACAAGTAAGCTCCAGTTAAAGAAAAACTCACTTCTTCAGCACATTTTATTCCCCAGTGACACCAGATAAATAAAAATCTACTATACTTTATGAAAGTTTAATTCATTATCAATACTATGATTTAATGATACATGGTTAAATGCTAAACATTAAATTTGGCAATACAAAATGAGTCAAAGTGATAGCTATGACAGAAATTTTACAACATTTCAAATTCTATTTAAAATCACCAGAGGTCAAAATGATCTATTTAAGAATTACTTGCCTTTCCAAAAATTTATATTTACAATTAAAATGGGGATACAAAGTGAAAAATCACAATACTATTTCATACAAACACTTTGACCAAAATGAAAGAGTGCCATGAGCATCATCTCAATTAAAAATAATGCACTGATAAGATCACAGAGAACAAAAGTAGCCTGAAACCAATGCTGTGAATATTTTTTGAATTTTTATTAAAACTTTTTGTTATTGTACCTGGATTTTTTTAGGCTTGACCCAATTTCTTTATTCCCTGAGCCATGATCATTTTCAAGGTGAACTACATTTTTGTCTACCTCCTCTAGCAGTTACAACTGCTGTGGTAGTTGAAATATTTTAACAGTATAGATATAGGAAATTTGAAATATGCCATTGATTTACTGAAAACGATGTGCTAAGCATACATACATCATGTTAATTTTTAAAAAAATAAACCTAACTCACATTAGAAACCCATAATTAGCCCCCATATATGATGTCAATTCAGTTATCTATAATATTCAAATAATTTTCCAACCAAAATACCCAGTAAAAATTTTAAATCAGAGGAATTGTTGTATTAATATATTCCACAGACACCTTACTGTTATTAGTCGTAGGAAGGTATAGTTTCAGTGATGATGGTTTTAACGGTTTTAATCCCACACACATGAGAAATTGACTCCACAGGCTAATCCACACATGGCTTGATACCTTAAAACTTGAATCAATTGCTGAAAATTTTCTATTTACCTATATACAATATGTAGAAACTTCAGCCTGGCAAAGCAAAAAACAGTGAGCTTAAACACTAAATGGTTTAAGTTGGGGAAAGTAAAATTTGAGTAGGATTTCCCAATAGGTCATCAGAGGTTTACCTGGTATTTTCCTACTGACCCTTCCTCCCCCTTCCCTTCTGCACCTCCACCCACTTACTCCAACATACCCAAGTTCTTCTTAACCAATAACCCAGCAGAGTAAAATAGGGCAGTGCTGAGAAAAGTAACTATTACCTTCCATCCCACTCACTTATTTTAATGATTCATCTGGGAAACTCCAGTTGTTAAAATATACCTGAAATCTCATTAAATAGTAAAAAAAAAATTAGAAGATTTCTGCTTTGAAACATGTCACCAGTGATTCCCCTAACAGAACCTACAAAGGGTGAATATAAACTAAAAATTTTTTGCTAAAAAATTTCTTCAAAGTAATGTACTACATTCAATTGTCATATGAGGAGGGAAAAAAAGACAAAGATGACCAAATCCTATTAAAAAGTTATTTTTTAAAAATCATCCCATAAAAAGCGGGCACAGTAAATTCATCCTAACTCCTAAAACCTCAACAAAATCAGGTGAAATATAACTTTGCATCAAATACGGAATAATGAACTTTCAATCCCAACCATATGCACTGACAATATTTTACATAAAATTAAAGAAAATTTAGCTAATAGTAAGGAATGAATCCATTTCCTAAGCATTAGTTTCAATTGCAGACAAGGCCTAATGGAAACTGATCATTGTTCCACTATTTGGTTATTGGGACATACAACCTGTCTTAGTCCATTCTGCACTAGAACAGAATAACACAGACTAGGTAATTTTTTAAAAATTATTTCTTATTTAATTATCAATACTATTGGGAAGTCAACATGGAGGGGCCATTATCTGGTGAGAGCCTTCTTGCTGCATTATAACATGACAGGAGGCATCACATGGTGAGAGAGAGCAAGAGAGTGCTCCTGTCAGCTCAGGTCTCTCTTTCTCCTCTTATAAAGCCACCACAGTTCCATCACGGGGGCCTCACCCTGAAGACCTGATCTAATCCTATTATCTTCCAAAGGCCCCCCCTCCAATTGACGTATGAATTTGGGGATTAAGTTTCCAACATATTAAATCTGAAGGACACATTCAAGTCATAGCACAACCTAACATTTAAGATAACTCGTACACTAAAAACAACATTTAGAAATCTGGGGGGTTAAAATTGAAAAAGATGCAGCAATCTAATAATGCTATGGATGTTCTTATTTCTTCAACTCTGACTTTTGTTTCCTGTTGTGGTGACTAAGAACTGAGGGTTCATGCATCAAAACCAATATTTGATAAAAAAAGACTTATATGCCATACTGTTTGTGAGACAATTTAAAGCTATTTTCAAATGTGCTTTTCCAATTACAGGAGTTGAAACGATCTTTTAAGTGTGTGCTCTTTGAAAAGATACAATTTTATATGCATATACGACTGTTTAATTTTCCCTGACAAACATTTTCATTCTTTCTCAATTTAGAATTTAACTTTCTGTTTAAAAATATCAGTCACTTACTGTATGACCTGAATTAATACAAAGTCTGTTATACCTCTCAAATACCAAATGCAAATCCAACAAATAGTTACTGAGTATTTACCGTGCACCAGGCACTATGACATCATTCACTTGTTTTTAAAAATGCATAATTTCCACAAATAAATAGGTCTGTATATGTTTAAAATACTTTACATTTTTGTAAAGTTAAGGTCCACATTGTATGAGAGCACTTCAAAAAGTTCGTGGAAAAAATGAATTAAAAGATAATACAAATCTTTCCATGAACTTTTTGAAGATCCCTCCATAAAACAAAATTCTGAGAATTTTTTTTGTGAGAAGTTTAGTGGTTTACTTCCACTCACAAATTACCAACCCTCTTTGAATTTTTCATTGCTAATTAATTTCAAACTATAAAAAAAAAATCTATAAAATCAGCAAGGAATTAGGCCTACCAAATGCTAAAAAGATTTTCAATTTGCTAACATTTTTTAATGTGGCAGTATATTGATGAATGGAAAGTTTTATACCAGATAATCATTTCATCACTCATTTAAACTACTGCATAACCCTTTTAACTGGGTCTTCATGCTACCATACAACCTTGTTTCCACCATACCATCTCCTTAGGCCAACCACAAATTATCTTTCCAAAATGGAAATGTGATCATGAAGTGACATGTTCAAAAACCTTCAATGTCTCTAACACCTAAGAATACAATCCAAGGCCCTATACATGGCAATTAACACTCATTTCCTGGACCTTCCTTTCTCTTCGCTACAGCCACATTTGCCCTTCTCCCACTCAACCTCTCTTCCCCCATTTCCCCAGACTCTGCTTCGTAGCAATAACAACACCCACACTCACAAAGCTGTTTTACACTCCTTTGACTTCACACCTTTATCTCTCTTCTGTTTGCCTTCTCTTCATGTTCACCTGATGAACTTTTGTTAAAATTTCTGCTCATGAATCATTTCTGTGAAGCCTTTTCCTGAACTTCTCTTAAACATGACTTCCTTTTTATTCTGTACAGTATCACACTTGTTTCACTCCATTTCCATGTCCTGCTTCTCTATGGGGCTGTGAAAATCTGGAGGATGGTGACCATGCTGTTTTTTTTCCTGAGGGTTATTCCAGGATCTGGCACACAGTGGGAGTCACTGGATTTTTGTGGAACTGAACTGAAAATCAGGTGGACACAGGAAGTTGATTTCTTCTGCTTTTATAGTTAACAATGCTTTCACTTAACACAGGTTCTGAGAAAGCGTCAGGCAGCACTGTATTTGCTACTAAAGATTTCCTATTATTCCTGAAGTCTAAACTAAATCAATTAGAAAGTTTATCTGAACACATTTTATTATGTTCTCTTTCAAATATTAATATGTTTTCTTACTGCTCACAGAAATCAGAATTT